ATTAAAATTCTATATTATTTTTTCAAAAAAAATACAACTTTAGAACTTGTTTTAAATGCTACATGATGAAGAGAATTTTGGCATCACAACATTAAAACACACGATATGAAAAAATGGATATCCATTTTGAGATTTGCTAAAACTTTAACAGTGTTACTAAATAGCTAGTTAAGTAAGTTAAGACAAGTAAGCATTTGATGACACAAAGGATGTTATTTAGTATCATCTGCCATCTAGTGAGCAATAGCACATTAACCAAAGGCTGATTTGGTGCTAATAAACAAACACTGGTAATTTAAATGAACTGATTAGATGACTTCTTTTGTTCATTGGTTAATTGGTTTTAAAGTATCACTCATAGAAGCCCATTTACACGACTGAATAAAAAATAAAACTAGGTAATTGTCACTTTTTATCTTACAATTCGGACTTTTTTCTTAGAATTGCGAGATATGAACTCACAACTGTCAGATTTGCGTGATATAATATTGTGATTACAAGAAATAAAGTCCGAATTGTGACAAAAACGAGCAATGCTGACTTTTTTTCTTGCAATTGCGAGTTACAAAGTCCAATTCTGAAAAAAGAGACTTTGTTACAATTGCGAGTTTATATTTCACAATTTTGACTTTTTATTTCTCAGAATTGTGAGTTTATATCACGCAATTCTGATTTTTTTTTACATGCAATTGTACGTTTAATCTCTCAATTCAGACTTTTTTTCTCGCATTTGCAAGTTTACATCTTGCAATTCTGAGAAAAGTGTCAGAACTGTGAGATCAAAAGTTGCAAATTGCTTTATTTTTTATTCAGTGGCAGAAACGGGCTTCCATATTACTCTGTATTGATTCAAGGGGTTTTATTGGACAATCGCTGCACAGTTGTTTTTGAAGCAAGTTAGAACTGCAACTACAAGCTATTTTGAGATTTTGATTAATCTGTTGAGACTTCAGGGTTTGTTTGTAGATTTGTTTGCCCCGTATCAAGATTTCCAAACTGAACCTGAACCTCCAACCGCTGGAATGCTGCGTGTGTGGTGAAGCCTTTTGAACATGCTACAACACGCTTCCAACTTCTTGCTTCATCTCACTGTTTCCTTCATTTTCTCTTTTGTTCACTTTCTTGTTCTGCCCCTCTCTGGCCTTTTTACTTTACATTGCAGGACTATTTTCTGTTTTTATAGTACCTGGAAAGCTTTAGCTATATATCATTTTCGGTTGTAAATAGGTATAATGAAGTCACACTTGCACAATCGGTTTCAAAATCTGATTTCACACATTCCCAGAATGTGCGTATATATCAGCCAAAAATGAAACAAAATCTCTCAAGCGAGATTTATAACACGATTACTGTAAAAAAAAAAAAAACAGATCTGATGTGTTTCCTGAAAGGTTTTCTTCCTCATCCATCCATCTCTCTCTCTTGCTTTCACTGCTCCCCGCCATGTGTTTTCTTAGCTGAGAGCAGAACATGTTCGTGCATGCAGTCGCTCCGCGGCAGGAATGCGTGATACAGGACCATGTTAAAGGGGTCATATGATGCGATTTCAATTGTTCCTTTCTCTTTGGAGTGTTACAAGCTCTTGGTGCATAACGAAGATCTGTAAAGTTGCAAAGACTAAAGTCTCAAATCCAAAGAGATATTCTTTATAAAAGTTAAGAGTCAACCACACCTACCTAAAACGCCTCGTTCTAACACGCCCCCACATGTCTACGTCACTATGTGGGAAGATTTGCATAACGCCGCCCAAATGTTCGCGCAAAGAAAGAAGGCGTAACTTTTATTCTGTAGTATTGTTGTCACGCCATGTCGTGAAGGCGCTGTGTGATTCGTTGTGAAAGCGAAACTACTTTGTTTGGTCTTCCAAAAGAGTACGATATTCGCTTTGTCATGCCTGGAGCTGATCCGTGCTGGTCACTGAGGGTATACATCAACTTCGCGCTGTGGATCGCCGGATCGGCTTTCACCGTGGATGAAGCGGAGTCCAGCCAGGGGTCATCACGTGGTTGCCGCAAGCCAGCCGGACGCTCCTTCGTCGAATCCGCCCGCCGCGCCGTCCTCAAGCCCGCC